TTCATCTTTGGTATGCACCACAGGGTGGCTTCCTCTCTCTGACCTTGGCTTTATCTCTGATGCTACAACTCTACCAAAAAAAAAAAAAAGAGAGGAGATGGGATAGGAGTCGGAGCTGGCTTGAGCTTTGAGCCAGAAAAGAAAGAGGGTTACTCGCATGGGAACCAAAGACTCTCTCAGTAGGGTCTCACTGAAAGATAGTTTCTGAAGTGGCGTGAGCAACCTGTTAAATATTTTCTCGTAATAGTCACAGAAATGATTTGACTGCTTTCTTCCTTAAGCTTGCCATCCCTATCCTGCTCTAATTAAATTCCTTTTTGTTCTGGCCTTAACAAGTTTTTCTGCCATTAGACTTCAGATTTAATTTTCTTTCCTTTGGCTTTGGGGATCTACAGATCTCATTTAAAAAAAAACTGAAGATGGCAGTCAGGTGCAGTGATGCATGCCTGCAATCCCAGTGACATGGGAGGGTGCATCAGGAGGATCATATCTTCCTAGCCAGTCTCAGCAATTTACAAGATCCTTAGCAACTTAGAAATATTCTGTCTCAAAAAATCAAAAGTAAATAAATAAGATGAGCATGGTAGCGCACATCTGTTATCCCAGTGCCTCTGGAGGCTGAGGCAGGAGGATCACAAGGTCAAAGCCAGTCTCAGCAACTTAGTGAGGCCATAGCAACTTAGAGAGACCCTGTCTTGAAATTAAAAAAAAAAAAAAAAATCTGGGGATGTGGCTCAGTTCAGTCCCCATACCAAAAATAAACAAACAAAACAAAAATTCAAGATGGCGTCAGTAACAAAGGCAAGGCTACTCTGAGTTGGTTAGTTTCTGTATAGCTTTTATGCATAATAATCAGCCACCATTTTTAYAAGCTTCTGTGTACAAAGCAACTATATCAGATGTGCCTACATCTGGGTGTACCATTGCATCTCAAAAATACCATCTCAAAAGCACTGTCTTTTAGGTTTTATTGTACATAAATTGTTAGATATAGCATCTAGTTTATTTTTTATGTATTTATATAAAAAATCTTACCTACTATAAAAGTAATATATAATACAAACAGCTAAAATAAAATGAGTTTCCTTTTTTAGAAGGTAAATACTATATGCACAGTGACACTGAATGTGGTATGAATGTTTGTGTCTCTTCCCCCAAATTCATTGTTGAAAACATAATCACCAATGTGATGATATTAAGGAAGTGGGGCCTATAGAAGGTGATTTGGAAATGAGGGCAGAGCCCTTATGAATGGAATTAGGGCCCTTATAAAAGAGGTTCCAGAGCACTGCCTTTCCTCTTCTGCCTCACAAGGACACAGCTGGAAACCACCCTCTATGAATCAGAAAGTGAACCCTCACCAGACTCTGAATCTCCTGGCTTTTGATCTTGGACTTCCCCAGCTTCAGAACTGTAAGAACTATTGTTTATAAACTACCCAGTTTATAAAGTTTGGCTATAGCAGCCCTAAGAAGACACTGAATAAATTTTTTGGTTATAATCAGTGTTTAGAATCATAAACTGGTAAAGAGGAAATAACCTATGAGACTTTTTCTTTTCTTTGACTGCATTTTTTCTTCCACCTGTACAGCTTGCTTCRGTACCAATACCTATGGGCACAGAGGCGAAGCAGTCATTTAGAGTCAAGGTTTGCTGTGGTACCAGACACTGTGAGATGCCCAGGGAGATCTTATGAGACTCTGAATACTCCTTTTCAATTGAGGAATTCACCACACTATGCTGACAGATACTTTTATTCAACCTGTGGTGTAGCAATCCCAGGAATAAATGGAAGTCTTTCTTTACTTAAGCCTTTTTCATCAATGTGAATGTTCCTCAGAACAGCAAAGATGAAACTCAAGCCTAACGTTAAATAAGAGAACATTTAGACATTTTAAATGTTAAAATCCCAGGCAGAGATAATTTATTTTAACAAAAAAGGAAAAGGAATATTTATTTGGAAAAAAAATTGTAAATATTTTTTTTTTAGTTTTAGATGGACAACTATAACTTTATTTTATTGATTTTTATGTGGTGCTGAGGACCAAACCCAGTGTCTCACACATGCTAGGCAAGCATTCCAGGCTCTGAGCTACAACCCTAGCCCCCTATTTGAAAAATATTTACCAAAATAAATTGAAGCAGATATTTATGAAATTATTGAATAGTGAACCAAATTCAGTTCCAAAAAATTACATGGATATTGTCCAGAAGGACTATTTTGATCTTAACCACTATTTAGTATCTGTCAACAGTGAAGCCCTTCTTCCAGACTTGATGATATACCCTTGTAATACCAGCAATTTGGGAGGCTGAGACGAGGAGAATCACAAATTTGAGGGTACCCTGGGCAACTTAGACCCTGTCTCAAAAGAATAAAAGGGCTGGGTATGTAGCTCAGTGGTAGAGCACCCCTGGGTTCCATCCCACAAACAACAAAATGAAACACTTTTATTTAAAAACAAACAAATGTAATCACACTAAAAGTTTTCTTCAGCATGAAAAGTTGATGATACCCCCCCCCCCCAGTCAATATCTGAAACAAAAAAGCAAAACTAAATTTAGTGTTTACCCTTAAGGGAAAACTGTTCTGACCAGGCATAGTTTTTCTGAGCAGAAGAGACCATTTGTTTGTTTGGTTTTTTTTTTTTTTTTTTTTTTAAGTAGGATTTGGGGGAAGTGTGGAACTCAAGGATTGGGGAAAGTTCAGAGGCTATCATGGGATGACATCTGAAAAAGCATGATCATGATTGGTTAGCTGGAACTCAAGGAGTGTTTACTGGAGTTACTCTATTCCTGACTGACTTTCAGAAGTGAGCCATTAACAGTGACTTGTGATGATCTTGTAAAGGCAAATTGTTGATCTTTTTTTTTTTTTTTTTTTTTTTTGATGACTACTTACTATCATGGCTGCAGAAAAAAGCAGTTTTTTCCAAGTTTGTGGAAACTTAATTTTTAACATAATCATATAAAACAAACATGTATTTTGACATATAATTTAAAAGTAAAAAGAGAAAGTCTTAAATGTACAGTTTAATGAATTTTCTGTATCTGTATGTACCTATATAACTGCTTCCCAATTCAAGAATATAACATAGTTTCATCATCCCAGAATGTTCTCTGATGACCCTACCTAATCAATATCCCCTATTATGATTTTCATTCCTATGGATTAGTTATGCCTATTCTTGAATTTCATAGAATGAAAGTAAGTAGTACATATTATTTTCTAATTTTTAAAAAATTTCTCTCAATGCATATGAGATTTCATTCTTTTTGTATATATCATTACTTGCCTTTTATAACTATGTAATAGTCCATTACATAAATTGATTTGTGTAAACTGTTGATGGAYATTTGGTCATTTCCAGTTTAGGCATATTATGAATAAAGCTCCTATAAAGATTTTTGTACATGATTTTTATGAATATGAGTAGCCATTTCTCTTGGGTATCCAACTAGGAATGAAATTTCTGTGTCATTATAGTATGTTTTTGTTTAGTTTTTGCAGATACTGTTAAAATAGTTTTTAATAGTTGATTCAGTTTGTTCTCCACTGGCAACTTTATGAGAGTTCCAGTTGCTCCGTGTCTTTGCCAGTACTTAGAATTGTCATTCTTTTGAGTTTTGAACTAGGGTTAGAGAGGAAGGGCAACATGAAGTATCTCTAATGTGTGGAAACTTCTGACATGAACCTTCATTATCAACCTGCCTTAGCCTCACAAATTAGTAGGGTTATAGTTATGTGCCATTATGTCTGACTAGGTAAGGTTTTTTTTWAAATATTTTTTTAGATGTTGATGGACCTTTATTTTATTCATTTTTTATGTGGTGCTGAGGATTGAACCCAGTGCCTCAGACATTCTAGGCAAGTGCTCTATCACGGAGCCACAACCCCATCCCTAGATAAGTTATTTTTAAGTGTGGAGGAGAAGGGTCCAAATTGGAGATATAAATTTGAGAGTTGTCACTATATGAAATCACAAGGAGTGAGTCTAGAAAGAGAACCAAGAAACTAAGTCCTGAAGGCTTTCTAACATTTAAAAATGAGGAGGGTGAAGAGGAACTAGCAGAACAGAATGAAATGGAGCAGCYAGGGAAATAATGGAGGACAAAAAATACTGTCCCCAAAACCAAATGAGGAAATTGTTTTATTATCAAGTGTGGCTTCTGATAGCTCTCATGAGATGAGGACTAAGAATTGACAGTTGGATTTGGCACAGTGCAGGTCATTGCTGATGAGATCAGTTTGAATGAAGTGAGGGGTGGGGATGAAAGCTAGATTGGAAAAGATTTGTAAGAATAAGGACTTGAAGTACTAAATATAGTGATTCTTGGAAGGAGTTTTGCTCTAAAGGGGGGGCCAAGACACAGAGCAGTGTTTGGAAAGGAATGTGAAGTTGAGGGAAAACTTGTTTTTAATTTGGGTGATACATTATAGTCTCTATGCTAATGGACATGATCCAGTAGAGACAGAGCACAATAGAGTAATCTTGTATAAATGAATAAGGATGGGTTCTGATTACAAGAAGGCATGGTTGGCCTTAGAGAAGAGTCTGGCAATTTATCCATGAAAGCAAGAGAGGAAGTAGAGTGTATCAGAAAATTATCTAAAATTATCTAATTATCAGTTATCTAAAAATCTATCAAGTAGCTGTTGCTATTATATATTTTTTTAATTTAAGATGGGCATTACCTTTATTTTATTTATATGTGGTGCTAAGAATTGAACCCAGTGCCTCACACAGCTAGGTAAATTCTCTACCACTGAGCCACAACCCCAGGCCCCAAATAGCTGTTTTAACGTATTTATTCCCTCCTGTTTTTTCCCAGTTGATTATTTTGCCAACAAAAGACAAATGGTTATAGCTAAGAGTAGCATGTGATACATGATTGAGTAATATAAGACACACGAAAATAGCATTTTACTTTCATAATAATAGATGTAAACAGGTGAGATGACATAATACTTAAAATGTTTTTGTTTCTTCTCTCCATAGCTTTAAGGAAAAGTAGAAATCACTTCTGACTATACTGAGTAGCAAGTGAGTTCCTACACTGCAGATCATGGCACTACCATTCCGCAAGGACTTAGAAAAATACAAGGACCTGGATGAAGATGAGCTTCTTGAAAATCTGTCAGAAATAGAACTGAAACAACTAGAAACTGTTCTGGATGATCTTGACCCTGAGGTAGGTTTTAGCAGAGGAAAAGAAATAACTCTTCAACCCCTTTGAAACAAAGTAGCTGTCTTTAGCAGTTTGCTTTCTCATGCCTTTCTCTTGGAGCTTTCTTCTTCTTCTTTATCCAGATGAACTTGCTTTTTGCTTCCTCTCCAGTTCTCCCACTTTTGCCTCTACATCTTTATGACATGACTATTCTAAACTATCATCTCTATCATTGTTGTGTTTAAACATCTCCTGAATTTGTTTCTCCTCTAACAAATCTTTTCTTTCTGTGCAGGGAAGAATATTTTTGGTTAAGTATAGCAAATGACTAGCTCTTTTATATACTGATCTCTTCTGTCTCTTCAGAGACTCTAGAATAGTATGGCTCCAGTGTACAGTGCCTCTAGAAAGTTCTTCATGACCTTAAACCTAATTGTTACCTTGCTGAGAGATGCTGACCAAAGGGTGTTTCTAGTCCTTGGTAGAACAGATCTGAGGAGCCTCTCAAAAGCAGTACAACAGTTGACTGTGGAGCAGATCTATATACCTGAGTGCTATTTGACTTTATAGCATTGCATCCCTACAAACCCATCTTAAATTGTAAATATTATGTCAAAATGCCTTTAATATACCTAACTTCTTAAACATCTTAACTTTGCCTAGCCTACCTTAAAAATTCTCAGAACAGTTAGTCTATAGTTGAACAAAATTATATAATACAGAGCCTGTTTTTAAAAACGTTGACTGTCTCATATAATTTATTGAATACTATACTGAAAGTGAAAACCTGAATGATTGTATTGGGTTCACTTTCTGCACCATCTTACAATTGAACCATTTTCAAAGTAAATGTTATTTGTTTTACAAATTGCACAAGGCAAAGTAGAGACTCTTAATCCTTGAATTGTTCATTTATGAAAGGACAGGCAACAGGAGAGAACCTAAAAATATTGGTTATTTGCTAGAATTTACCACTTTTTTTATGCCCAGGCATTGATTTTTTAAGTGCCCTTTAAGAATTGAGGTAAGCCAGGTACTATGGCATATGCCTGTAACCCCAGCAATTTGGGAGGCTGAGAGAGAAGGATTACAAGTTCAAAGCCAGCCTCAGCAATTTAGCAAGGCTCTAAGCAATTTAGCAAGACCTTATCTGTCTCAAAATAAAAAATAAAAAGGTCTGGGGATATAGTTCAGTGGTTTTATCCCTGGGTTTAATCCCTAGTACCAAAACAAAACAAATTGAGGTAGAGTTTTGGTTTTGTTTTATTTGGGGGGGTGGGGCTTGAACTTAGGACCCAGAGTATGCTAAGCATGCACTGTACCATTGAGCCACACTTCCAAAGATCAAATTCTCTTGACCAAAATCAGTGTTATAAGGAAAAATTATCAGTATGCCTAAGTCTGAGGGATTATTCAGAAAAATAGTGCTGTTTCTATCATGTCTCAGCACTACATTCTATAGGCAGTTCAACCTGTTAACCCTCTTTAAATCAAATGATTTTAGAACTGGAATGAACACACAAGTTTATGTAGTCTAGGTTGTTTTTGTTTTTGATAATGGGGATTGAACCTAGGGATGCTTAAGTTGCTGAGGCTGGCCTTAAACTTAGGATCCTCCTGTCTCAGCCTCCTGATTTATTGGGATTATCACAGTTGTGTGCCACCATGCTTGGCATTGTAATCAAGTTTTTGTTTTTTTTTAACCTTGGCACTATTGACATTGGGACTGTATGATTTTTTTGTTGTGAGGGACTGTCCTATGTATTACAGAGTATTTAACAGCATTCCTGGCTCAGTACATGCCAATAGCACACCACCCCACCTCCCCACCATTTTGAACTGTACCTGAGGTATTGTTTTAATCAGGTGGTAAAATAACAGACACAGAAACAACTGCCTTGAAAAAAAGAATTTATTATGCATGGTCCAGGAGCTGGAAGCGGTCCAGGCAGGGACACATGAGAAAGCATTTTATTTGGTCAGAAAGAAGGAAAAAGGAGCAACCATGGTCTAGAGCCTTTATTGCAGTTTCTGAGGGAATGAATAAATGAATGAGACCACAGGCTCCAGACTATAGAATTAGTACTTAGTTGCCTCATACCTTGCCTTAGGTTATTAGAGTAGGGGAAATATTGGCATGAGGTGTAAGGGTTAGATAACTAAGATTATTGGGATCCAGAGACCTGTATTGACTGGTTTGCATATGAAAGTTATGCAATTGGTAGGTCTGGGTGGAAAGTAGGGTTAATGCTATCTCTAGGAATTAGCTAACACTGGAAGGGGCCATCTCTTCAGGATTTGTAAGGTCCCTAAAATGTAAAAGCATCATAAAATATAGAAAGTAAAAAAAAAAAAAAAAAAGTGATTAATACTCCAACCCCCCTGTTTAACAAGCAAAAATTTCTCAAAACATTACCAAGGTATCTATTCTCTGGGAAACAAAAAGCCCCTGGTTGAAAAACACTCTAGTCCCTGCCCTCTGTTTTACAGATGTGAAACAAAAGAGGTGACTTGCCTCAGTATTATAGTTAGGGAAAGAACTGAGATTAGATCCTTCACTGCCTGCTTGACATCAGGGATCTGGCAGTCTTTCTGTTAAACCATAGTGAGTCTCCTCTTGAACTCATATACTGTGATATGCGTCTAAAATCTCTCCACTTCCATTTTCTTATTTGCAAATCCTTGGCCTACTTCTTGTATGGGGAGGTTGAGCTCTAATCTCTGAATGTATTTTGTACATTTCCCAACCCCATTTGAAATTCCTTCATCCTCAGATACTATTAGTCAAACCAGGAAAACAGTGATGTTTATTGACAGCATGCCACTTGTCCTATAATGTTTTTTGAGAGTTCAAGTAAAGTATCGGGTAGAAAAAGAGGACAAGGGTAGTTGCAGCTGCCTCTACTAGAGACTCTGTAACTTACCAAGTCTCAAATGGTAGGATGAGAGCATAGGAAGGTATGAATGGCATCTTGTTATATTAAAGGGCTATTTTATTGTATTTATGCTGCACTTAGTTGTATTTACTTGGTAACTCACTACATTTTCATAAAACATCTATTTCCAAAAGACAGCCAGTGTAAGTTAAAGCTGTTTTATTCGTTTCCAAGGCTGGGAATATATTGCTACAACAGTATTACCCTACAGTGGACTGCTAGTGTGGCTCAGTGGTAGAGCATTTGCCTACCATACACAAGGCCCTGAGTTTGATCCCCAGCATTGAGAGGGGGGTGGATTCTTGATTAGAATATACTTCTAATGAAGCTTAGTGTGTGGGTTTATAGCCTCTGAAACCAGTGAGCTGCCATTTACTTTGTGGTCAAAGACTATTTAAGGAACCAGGATTTCAGCTAACATATTTTAAAACTATATGTTTCATAGGAGCTTGAGCAGCCAGGTGGCATAATGCAACTTCATTACTACTACCATTATAAAATAGCAATACAAATGCTTTTTGATGTGGGAAGAAAATAATTTCTTTATTAATTTGCCTCAGTGAGCATTTTTCTTTAAAAGTATTCTAAAATCTTTACTCATTAAATGTTTGAGGTAGATCTAGTATACATATAGTATACTAGACTCAGATATACAAGAGTGCTCCCTGTGCAGGAATTAGATTTTAATCAAATAATCATACCATGTTAGAAGAATGATGAACACTAGGATCTGTGAGTTACAATCACGGGTAGAAAAAGCTTCCCTTGGGGTCATGGAACTGCAGTCTTAAAAATGAGAAGAAAAGGGCTGGGGATGTGGCTCAAGCGGTAGCGCGCTCGCCTGGCATGCGTGCGGCCCGGGTTTGATCCTCAGCACCACATACCAACAAAGATGTTGTGTCCGCCGAGAACTAAAAAATAAATATTAAAAATTTAAAAAAAAATGAGAAGAAAAAAAGATAGTCTTCCAGGTATACAAAAAGGCCTTGTGATAGAAGGATATCACAAGTACAGGAAGAGAAAAAAAATGTCTAGTCTGAATAGAATAGAGAGGATATATGAGAAGAGGTTAGGGTCACAGATTAGGGAGTAAGAGTGAGGAATGAGGAGGATTGGGCACCTGAAACAGGAAGATCAGTTGGAATGCTAATGTAACATTCCAGGCAATCTTGGATCATAGTTTGGATCAAAGTAATGATGTTACAAATGGAAAAATGATGATTGAGTTCTTTACAAAGTAAAAATGGATAGGATTTACAGATAGACTAGGAATGGATTCTTCATATAACACTGTTAACTTGATTTCAAAGTCTAAAGGTAGAAATCTTGTTTTTCTTTTATATAGTCCCATAAACAACAAAGGAACAGGCCTCCTTTGTGGTTGATCTTTTTTTTTTATTGGTTGTTCAAAACATTACAAAGCTCTTGACATATCATATTTCATACATTTGATTCAAGTGGGTTATGAACTCCCATTTTTACCCCGTATACAGATTGCAGAATCACATCGGTTACA